AGGGGGCCACGGCAGGGCAGGGGGACGGGGGGACACGGCAGGACAGGGGGACAGGGGGACACGGCAGGACAGGGGGACAAGGGGACACGGCAGGACAGGGGGACACGGCAGGACAGGGGGACACGGCAGGACAGGGGGACAAGGGGACAAGGCAGGACAGGACAGTGGGACAAGGCAGGACAGGACAGTGGGACACGGCAGGACAGGACAGGGGGACACGGCAGGACAGGACAGGACACGACAGGCAGGACTGTCCCAGCATCTGCTGCTCCCTGCCGGCTCAGCCCCGCAGTGACAGCAGCGATGGGACAGAGCCGGCAATTCGGGGACAAAGCCCGGCTGTGCTGACACCCGGGGTGGCCGCAGCTCTGTCCCTGTCCCTGCCAGCTCCAGACGCTGTCCCCGTGTCCCTGCCTGTGCCCTTCCCTCCTGTACCTGCTGCAGGACCAGCTCCTCCTGGGGCTGCCCCATCTTCTGCGTCCTCTCGGGCTCCTTCCCGCTGCTGCCGGGCCGGGGGGGCTCCAGCCGTGCCCTGCCGGGGTCCCCGCCCTCGGCCGCGGCCTCCGGGAGCGTCCCCTCGGCCTCCATGTCCTCCGAGGACGGGATCTGCCGCAGCCGGGGCTTCTCGCTGGGCTTGGCCATGCGCTGCAGCCAAGGGGACAGTGCCAGGGGGAGGTGACACGGGCCAGCCCGGGGGGCGAGGAGGGGACGGGACATCTCGGGAGGGAGCCGGGAAGCTGAGCCGTGCCCTCTGCGGGTCTGCTGTCACCTCGGCTGGGTCACCCGGGAGCCGCGAGGTCACCCCCCGGTGCCACGGTCACCCCCCGGTGCCACCCCCATTGCCCGGGCGGGGTCTCACCTTGCCCAGGTGCCTCCCCCTTTACCCGAGCAGGGTCTCACCTTGCCCAGGTGCGTTTGCTGCTTGAGCCTCTCGAGGAAATGCGCGTGGTGCTGCTGGAACAGCAGGTGCTGCTGCACCGCCTTGGGGCTGGGTGGCAGCGGCTCCGAGCGGGTCCTGCCCAGCGGTTTGTGGTGGCCGGGCAGGGACAGGCGCTCGGCGGGGATGAGCGAGGGGGCGAAGGAGAAGGGGACGGTCCCCAGGCCTGGCACTGGGAAGGAGAGCGGGGACAGGTGAGGGGTGGCAGAGGTGATGCCGTCCCCACGTCCCCGAGCCGGACACTCACCCGCCACCAGCGGAGCGTGGCTGACCGAGGGCTCGAGGATGATGACGGGCTGCAGCCGAGGGGACAGGGGGCCGCCGGCCTCGTGCTGCTCCAGGCTGGCCGGGATGAAGACGGGCGAGTGCGTGCCCGGGAGCACCGGCCCGTTGAGCACCGGCACGCGGTGAGCCAGGCTGGGCAGCGCCCGGCGCTCGGCCTCGCCCTGCGGGGACGGGGACGGCGTCGGGCACGGCCAGGGGGCACCGGGAGGGGAGCGGGATCGTCCGAACCGGGTGGCACCGGGAACCCCAAACCCCGAACCCCAAGGAAAGCCCCACGGGGGGTAGAACCCGGCCACGTACCCTGGCACTGGCGGTGGCCGGCAGCCCCAGGGTGATGGCCGGCAGGGAGGCCGCGCTCTGCAGGGCAAACTGGGCCAGTGAGCTCTCCTGCATCAGCAGCCGCTGGGCCAGGGGTGTCTGCACCGAACAGGAGCCATCAGCGCCCTGCTCCCCCCGCCAGGGACAGCGGGGACAGCCCTGGGGACACCCATCGGGCAGGACAGCACTGGCAGAGGGGAAATGCACCCTGAAGGAGGGTGGGTGTCGGAGGAGTGCTGGGTTGGGAAGAGCATCCCTGAGCAAAGAATCCCAGGGACATCCAGGGGCATCCCAGGGCATCCAGGGGCATCCCAGGGACATCCAGGGGCATCCGGGGACATCCTAGGGGCATCCCAGGGCATTCAGGGACATCCGGGGACATCCGGGGACATCCAGGGACATGCAGGGGCATTCAGGGACATCCAGGGGCATCCCAGGGGCATCCCAGGGGCATCCTGGGGTATCCAGGGCATCCCCCGGGGCATCCAGGGACATCCAGGGACATCCAGGGACATGCAGGGGCATCCCAGCTTGCAGGGAGAGCAGGGAAGGGCAGCTCCAGGCAGGGGATTCGGGGCTGGGGTCGTGTCCCTCCCCCTGAGCCCAGAGGGACCCCCAGAGCCCCCAGCTCTCACCTCGTGGGCTGCTCCCGGGGCCGCGGGCAGAGCCGCGTGCTCGGCGGGCAGGCTGTCGTTGGGAGAGCTGCAGCCGGACACGGGGGTGCTGCTGCTGCTGGGGGACGAGTCTGGGAGGGGACAGACACGGCCTGAGGGCACGGCCCCCCCGCCCAGCCCCTCCCTGCCCCCCTGCCCAGCCCCTCCCTGCCCCCCAAGCGCTGCCCCCCACCCTTCTGGGGCCGAATCCCCTCGAAGCCACGGCCGCTCCACGCTGGGAACCCCGAGCAGCTCCCCCAGGTCCATCCTAGCCCCCAAAAATCAGCAGGTGCAGCTGCCCCAACACCTCGTGGATCACCCAGCCCACGGCAGCACCTCCAGGAGGACACATCGAGCCCTGGGCACAGCGTGGAGGTGACACAGGAACCCCGGGCACACGGAGGTGACACAGGAACCCCGGGCACATGGAGGTGACACAGGAACCCCGGGCCCACAGCA